AAAAAAAAAGAACGTATGGAATAGTGCAAACAAGAAATATATTACGTATATCACATAAGGAAGTAAAAGTGATCTGCGGTTAGCATGCGTTATGTCGCTTGCATATGCCCCGTCATCCGAATGTCACAGTTGCTCCAATAGGGCATCCAAATATAACTCCCTATCCTGCATACTATGCTCCAGTTCGCATTCTTCGATTACGGCCGCGAGGATTAGCATCCACAGTTTGTGAGCGGTTAAGTGCTCCGTATGTAGCAAGTGCGGATGGTGGTGGTGCTGCTGTTCTGGGTCTTTTACCCTCGTTAACGGTATATTTGCAGGGGCCCGCTTTTGTGCTTCTGCGTCGGTTGCTAGTTCCTGTGCTGTGGGGATGTTGTTTGCGTTCAAAGTTTGTTCCCTCTGGGATCCCGTCTCTTCTGTGTTCTCCTCCTCTACACTATTCAACAAATGTTGGAACCACTCCTCCGCACCATATATATGCATAAGCGCATGTTGTTGGGCAACCCATCCGTTCCATGCATCCAATTTGTGCATCGGCGGGTTGGCTGCTTCACCGAGTGCACGCTGCCCGTATACTCCATTTTCAGCATGTTGTTGATAATATTGTTTCCATTCCGCTTGTAATTGCAAAAACCACGGCTGCGTCGTGCACGCCCGCAATAGGTGCTTGGTGCGGGCAATCCAGTTAATCCAGTGGGTGCACGCCGCCGTCTCGTCACCGTGGTCGGAAGGGCGAGTTTGTTCATCGTCTAACTGTATGGATTCCATACACTTCCATGGATCGGGGTGCTCTTCGTTAGAAGCAGAAGGGTCCGTGTCTAACTGTATGGTTTCCATACAACACCATGGATCGGGGTCGTGTTCATTCGGTGGAGAAGTGTCCGTTGCTAACGGTATAGTTTCCATACACCTCCATGGATCGGGGTCGTCTTCATTAGGTGGAGATGCGTGCGTGCCGTCGGAATAGGTGGGTGTATCCCGCGTTGGTGGATCGGCGTTTGTTGTTGAGTCCTGGGTTGCTAAACCGTCGTCTGGGGTACAGACATCCGAGCTACTTGTACAGGTGTTGTTGCCCC